GTCCAGCACTGATAAGCGATATCCTGTGACAATTAACATCCTCCTCCTGCGAATCCTTGTAACATGTATCCTCTGATCCAAACGATAAAGAGTATCATCATGTAAAGACCCCGTCTACTTCTCTCCTCGGATCGTACCAATAAGTAATACTACAGCATGAAGTCCTCTCATCCTTTGATCCAAATGACAAAGGGTTAAAAGTCCACAAAATGACTGCTACCCAAAATAATTCCAATGTTCACGAATAATAGTTGAACATATATAAATCCACGCACAAAGAATAGTGCTCTTCACAATAAAGTACAGATAAAAATGTTAAGTTCCATACTGTATCTTTCTATAGGCAGCTAAAAACACTGTATAAAATCCATATGATACCACGTTGGGCGCCAAATGTTACTCTTGGGCTTTTACATAAAGCATTATATATTAAATAAAAACCAAGATGTTGGGTTCACTTCTAAGTTCTCTTCTTTATTTACATATCTGTCACAAGCAATTACAAATGATGGTTGACAGCTACTTGCAGTTACAACAAGTGACCTGAAAAATACATTTCATCAACCAATTACTATATAATTAAAATAATGAATTACAAATACATATTACATGAGCAACATTTTAACAAGATCATCATAGTATGAGTAATACAATTGATTCCTCCAATGCTAGTGGCCAAAATACATTAATACTTAACCTTTCATAAATGTCACAAATCCTAATACATATAAATCACATGTCAAACCTGTATTCAACATAAACATAGTACAAACATAACCACAACATGTACACTCACCAGTATATGGTACCAATCACATTACACTGCATCTGCATAAAACTCTCTCTCTCCAGTGTGTGCTGCTTAGTCTGTAAGTTAAAAATAAGTATTGTGCACAAAAGAAATATATGTGACAGTAGTAATAGTTAATTTACCAGATTATGCCATTTCAATTTCATGTACACAAAATATGCAATATTACATATACGTCTAAAATATCGCCGAAAACAAAGAAACGAATGTAATACTCATTTCAACAGAAGCTCATGTAATACAACAAATACTAAATATACATACTAAGATATATTTCCTTATAACAATAAGACAAACTTTCAAAAGTTTACCAAGACAACAATCTCAACTACATGTTACACAGAAAAACGTAGGCGGCACTGAAAACCCTGCGAATCAGCACGTGATACAAAGAAATTACTATCAACCGATCAAAACAGAGTATGCAAACAATAAAGTTCAAAGTGCATGGCAATGACTAAAACTCTTACAAAATACATTGAAATCACAGTCAAGACGGTCTGGTCACATTTAGGGACATTGATTTTTATAATGTGATGGAGCCATTCAGTTACCCTTAGAGAGGCCATGATGGTACTACCCTGGTACTTGCATGTACCTGAATTTATGCTGAAGTTGTGGATTTGACATTTAAAAAATGTTGCTCATTCATTAACGCAGTAGTCTCTATATGACATTTAAAATGTCAGTGGACCTAAATCAAACCATCAAGATAACCATCTGTTGTATTACTTGTTTATATATCTTGTAGATTTATTTTATCAACATTTTGACTACTTGATATTGTAAAATTAATCATCTTTATCTAGTCATGTATCAGGGCAATATATTTCTTGGTCCTGTGTCAATCATACTATTTACTAAAGCATTTATTCTAATGTAGACAAGAAGTAGAAAATTAACATATGTATTACATGAATTGTATTTGTGCAAGGGATAATAATTTGTAAGAAAAATTCTTACTAAATGTCAAATCCCTTGCATAAAACAGTATTTTTTGTTATTTTGAAACACACTTCGTGTTTTCAACTTTCTAACAACTTTTTCTTTTGTAGATTCAATCATTTACTTAACAAAAGTTTTGTTCAATTTTGTAGAATCGGTTATCATTGAATATAAAAAGTAGACAAAATATAAACCTAGTCACATAAATACATGTAGGATATGGTATATTGATTCAATGATTTTTAGCTCGACTTTTCTATGAAAAGGGGAGCTATCCTACTCGCCCCGGCGTCGGCGTCGGCGTCGGCGTCACACCTTGGTTAAGTTTTTCGTACCACCCCACTTTATTTCAGAAGTATTACAAGTATGGCTTTGAAACTTACCATACTTGTTCACCATCATAACCTCCATCTACAGACAAGAGTACATAACTCTGTCAAGGTTTTTGACAGAATTATGGCCCTTTTTTGACTTAGAAAGTGTATTGAGCTTGGTTAAGTTTTTTGTACCACCTCACTTTATTTCAAAACCATTGGAGGTATTGCTTTGAAACTGACCATACTTGTTTACCATCACGACCTTCATCAACAGACAAGAGGACATAACTCTGTCAAGGTTTTTTGACAGAATTATGCCCCTTTTTGACTTAGAAAATACATTGAATATGGGTAAAATCCACTTATTGCCTTAACCCTTTGAGATATTGCTTTGAAACTTTTAATGCTATTTCACATCATTACCCCCATCTGTACGCAAGAGAAGGTAACTCTGTAAGGATTTGTTTTAAAAATTAAGGCCTTTTATCGACTTAGAATCTTGGTTAAGTTTTTAGTACCAGTCCACTTTTTGACTGAACTGTTTGAGATATTAATTTGAAAGTTGGAATACTTGTTTACAATCATGATTCCCCAAACATGTCCAGGAGAAGGTAATTCTGTCAAAGATTTTATTTGAATTATGGCCCTTAACTGTCAATGTTTTGTATTATAGGCAAGCACTAAAAAACTTAAAAAATCTAAAAAAATTCTTCCTATCCACTTGTTCACTTTACCATAAATTATGTCATATAAACATTGCTGTAATATTCAAGGGTATCAAACAACTAGTTATTTTTCTCTTTTTGTACTTGAAATTAAAATCAGTAGTATATGCATATTTCACATTTTATCTCGCCTATTTGATTGGCACAATTCAGTAAAATAATTCTTCACTAAATATCTTAATGCTCATGGCCATTGTTCACTTTAAAAATACAGAGATTCTTGTATTGCCTTTTACTGCAAAAACTTTTTTTATTGGCAAGCAATAAAAAAGTCGAGCGCGCTGTCTTACGGACAGCTCTTGTTTTGTGTGTTTTTAGCTCACCTGACCACGAAGTGGTCAATGTGAGGTATAGTGATGGGGCTATGTCCGGTGTCCATCGTCATGCCTCGTTTGTTGTCAACAATTGGGTTGTTAACAGTCTAGCAATCACAGTTTTGATTGGATCATCATTAAACTTTGTCAGAATGTTTGTCTCATTGAAATACAGATCAAGTTCGAAGATGGGTTATCTGGGGTCAAAAACTAGGTCACAGGAGCTAAAAATAGAAAAAGCTTGTTAACACTCTAGTGGCTGCAGTTTTGATCCAAATATTCTGGAAATTTGTGAACAAGGTTGTTTTGATGATTTCTAGGTCAAGTTCCAAGATGGGTCATCTCCTGTCAAAAACTAGGTCACAGGAGCTAAAAGTAGAAAAAGCTTGTTAACACTCTAGTGGCTGCAGTTTTGATCCAAATATTCTGGAAATTTGTCAGGAAGGTTGTTTTAATGATTTCTAGGTCAAGTTCTAAGATGGGTCATCTATGGTCAAAAACTAGGTCACAGGAGCTAAAAATAGAAAAATCTTGTTAACACTCTATTGGCTGCAGTTTTGATCCAAATATTCTGGAAATTGGTCAGGAAGGTTGTTTTGATGATTTCTAGGTCAAGTTTGAAAATGGGTCATATGCGGTCAAAAACTAGGTCACTGGAGCTAAAAATAGAAAAATCTTGTTAACATTCTAGTGGCTGCAGTTTTGATTTAAATATTCTGGAAATTGGTCAGGAAGGTTGTTTTGATGATTTCTAGGTCAAGTTTGAATATGGGTTGTCTCCGGTCAAAAACATGGTCACATTGCCCAAATATGGAAAAACCTTTTTAACACACTAGAGGTCACATTTTTGACTCAATTGTCATCAAACTTGGCCAGGATGCTTGTCTAAGACATTGCTTGGATGTGGTTGATGGGTCAGGGGAGCGATCCAGGGCCATCATGGCCCTCTTGTTTTTAAGACTGATCATTTACAAATATGTTATACATGTATAAATGGAAAGGAGTAGCACATTATCTTTATCCACCACGCCTAAGGCAAAGGGGGAATTGGAAATGGTCTTCATTTGTGCATCCACAACAAAATAAATAAATCACATATGAGTTACTAGTTATACTTTTCCTGGTACCACTTCATTCTTCCTTTTAACAGTAGTTAAATAAAACTTTATCATTACTGTACTGAAAATAAACATTAATTTGCAAATATTTTTGCAAACTTTCTCTTCATCACCTTATCTATGTCCAATGACAAGAATGTTCTCAGCATGACCATAACTGTACGGCTTTTCAAGAATTTCCTCTCACTAATTAAAATAATCAAAAAGTACAACCTTAAGGTAACTTTTTTTGGGAGATAGGGATTAACCATGTTGTTCACTTTGATATTTTGACACAACAAGTTGATATGCAGTTATATGTGTTGTTAAAATGTCAAGAGTTTGAGCTTGAAGTCATATATTTATGATAATTATGCTGTTACAAACCAGTATTTTTTGTTTTATAACATGTCGGACACTTAGTTACAATATATTGAAGACTTGTTTTTGGTTTTTCCTGATACTGATTAAACATTTCCAGTGGATTTCTGGAAAAAAACATACATATTAAGCTCATTTCAAACACCAAAGGCAATATGAAATTTAAGGATTACGAACCAAAGTAATCATGTGAAACACAATATTGTTTGTCCAAATAATGATGTGATAGTGGTAACACTCTTTCTTGTAACAATAATATTCTTAAAGTAGGTAGTTTGAAAACCATCCAAAGAAGGTCACATTAGCTTTGGATTTACTATGATATTACCTAAAATTTGTCAATTATTTAGTGATAAATGATGGTCTGTTATTGTTGAATAACCATATGAATTTCTATACTTTATATTTAGACCAAACCTTGCTGGCAGTCAGTCTGTATACCCAGGTACATTAAAGGGGACAAGAAGAGCCTCGTTACTGGGTACAGAACGTCCACAAAATCCAAGGGTCATCTTTATATCATCAAGAGTACCTGCTAGCGAGGTATATTTTCTATTTGTTATACATTCAGTACAATTACAATATCTTTTTGTGTCGCCTCTACGGAGTAGTGGCGACATATAGGGATCACTTCTCCCGTCTGTCTGTCTGTCCGCCTGTCTGTCTGTCCGTCACAAAACTTGTCCGGACTACTCCTCATAAACTACTGGTGCAATTTCATCCAAACTTTACAGGAATGATCAGTACCAAGTCTAGTTGTGCATATTGTCAGCATTTTCCGGTTCAATGATTTTTGTCAGAGTTATGGCCCTTTAATTATTTTTAGCTCACCTGTCACAAAGTGACAGGGTGAGCTTTTGTGATCGCTTTTCGTCCGGCGTCCGTCCGTCGTCCGTCCGTCCGTCCGTCGTCCGTCCGTAAACTTTTGCTTTAAATGACATCTCCTCATAAACCACTGAGCCAATTTCATCCAAACTTCACAGGAATGTTCCTTTGGTGGTCACCTTTAAAAATTGTTCAAAGAATTTAATTCCATGCAGAACTCTGGTTGCCATGGCAACCGAAAGAAAAATCTTTAAATATCTTCTTTTAAAAAACCATAAGAGCTAGAGCTTAGATATTTGGCATTAAACATCTTCTAAAGAGTGTCTACCAAGTTTGTTCAAATAAAAGCCCTGGGGTCAAAATTGGCCCCGCCCAGGGGGGTCATTGATTTTCCCTATATGCATATAGTAAAAACTTAAAAATCTTCTTTTAAAGAACTGTAAGAGCTAGAGCTTAGATATTTGGCATGAAACATCTTCTAGTGAATGTCTACCAAGTTTGTTCAAATAAAAGCCCTGGGGTCAAAATTGGCCCCACCCCAGGGGGTCATTGATTTTCCCTATATGCATATAGTAAAAACTTGAAAAAATCTACTTTTAAAGAACCCAAAGAGCTAGAGCTAAGATATTTGGCATGAAACATCTTCTAGTGAGTGTCTACCAAGTATGTTCAAATAAAAGCCCTGGGGTCAAAATTGGCCCCGCCCTGGGGGGTCATTGATTTTCCCTATATGCATATAGTAAAAACTTAAAAAATCTTCTTTTAAAGAACCGTAAGAGCTAGAGCTTAGATATTTGGCATGAAACATCTTCTAGTGAATGTCTACCAAATTTGTTCAAATAAAAGCCCTGGGGTCAAAATTGGCCCCACCCCAGGGGGTCATTGATTTTCCCTATATGCATATAGTAAAAACTTGAAAAATCTTCTTTTAAAGACCAGTAAGAGCTAGAGCTTAGATATTTGGCATGAAACATCTTCTTGTGAATGGCTACCAAGTTTGTTCAAATAAAAGCCCTGGGGTCAAAATTGGCCCCGCCCCAGGGGGTCATTGATTTTCCCTATATGCATATAGTAAAAACTTAAAAAATCTTCTTTTAAAGAACCGTAAGAGCTAGAGCTTAGATATTTGGCATGAAACATCTTCTTGTGAATGGCTACCAAGTTTGTTCAAATAAAAGCCCTGGGGTCAAAATTGGCCCCGCCCCAGGGGGTCATTGATTTTCCCTATATGCATATAGTAAAAACTTAAAAAATCTTCTTTTAAAGAACCCAAAGAGCTAGAGCTAAGATATTTAGCATGAAACATGTTCTAATGGGTGTCTACCAAGTATGTTCAAATAAAAGCCCTGGGGTCAAAACTGGCCCCGCCCCGGGGGTCATTGATTTTCCTTATATGTGTATAGCAAAAACTTAAAAATCTTCTTGAAAAAACCCAAATAGCTTTAGTTTAGATATTAAGCATGAAACATCTATAAGTAAATATCTACAAATTAAAGCCTGGGGGTCAAAACTGGCCCTGCCTCAGGGATGTCATTGTTTTTAACTATATGTGTATAGTAAAAACTTAAAAAATCTTCTTTTAAAAAACCCAATGAGCTAGAACTTAGATGTTTAGCATGAAACATCTTCTTATGGGTGTCTACCAAGTTTGTTCAAATAAACAAATAAAAGCCCTTGGGTAAACATTGGCATGGGGGGGGGGGGGGGGGGGGCTATATACAGGTGAGGGACCTCAGGGCCATCATGGCCCTCTTGTTATTTTTAAAGTTTGTCCGGACTACTTCTCTTATACCACAAATGCAATTTCAATGAAACTTTACAGGATTGATCTGTAGCTCAAGTCCTTGCGCATATGCACGGGTTTTCTGGTTGAATGATTTTTGGCCGAGTTATGGCTCTTTGATAAAAAGGTGTTTTTTTCTGTGTGTTGCCAGATACACAAAAGCTTGTCCGGACTATTCCTCATAAACTACTGGTGCAATTTCATCCAAACTTTACAGGAATCATCAGTACCAAGTCTAGTTGTACATATTGTCAGAATTTTCCGGTTCAATGATTTTTGTCAGAGTTATGGCCCTTTAATAATTTTTATTTTTAAAGTTTGTCCGGACTACTTCTCTTATACCACAAATGCAATTTCAATGAAACTTTACAGGATTGATCTGTAGCTCAAGTCCTTGCGCATATTGCACGGTTTTTCCGGTTGAATGATTTTTTGCCGAGTTATGGCCCTTTGATAAAAAGGTGTTTTTTTCCGTGTGTTGCCAGATACACAAAAGCTTGTCCGGTCTACTCCTCATAAACTACTGGTTCAATTTCATCCAAACTTTACAGGAATCATCAGTGCCAAGTTTAGTTGTACATATTGTCAGAATTTTCCGGTTCAATGATTTTTGTCAGAGTTATGGCCCTTTAATAATTTTTATTTTTAAAGTTTGTCCGGACTACTTCTCTTATACCACTAATGCAATTTCAATGAAACTTTACAGGATTGATCTGTAGCTCAAGTCCTTGCGCATATTGCACGGGTTTTCCGGTTGAATGATTTTTGGCCGAGTTATGGCCCTTTGATAAAAAGGTGTTTTTTTATGCTCCCCGAAAAATTTCGGGGGAGCATATAGTCAGCGCCTTGTCCGTCTGTCCGTCCGTCCGTCTGTCCGTCCGTTTTCTTGTCCGGAGCATAACTTGAAAACCCTTGGAGATAATTTGTTTAAACTTCATACAGTGGTAGAGGGCATTGAGGGGGAGTGCAGTGTCAAAGAACCATAACTCTATTTTGCCCGGTTTTTGAATTATCTCCCCTTATAGAAAAATCTTGTCCGGGGCATAACTCTAAAACTATAAGAGATATCAACATGAAACTTTGTAGGTGAATAGATCTCAATGGGTAGATGTGCAGTGCATAAGAACAATAACTCTTTTTGTCCGAATTTTGGAGTTATTGCCCTTTGTTAATTTCAACACTTTGAACTTTGTCCGGAACATAACTCTAAAACTATAAGAGATATCAAGATGAAACATTGTAGGTAGATAGATCTCATTGAGTAGAAGTGCAGTGCAAAAGAACCATAACTCTGTTAAGCCTCATTTTTGAATTATCTCCCCTTATAGAAAAATCTTGTCCGGGGCATAACTCTAAAACTATAAGAGATATCAACATGAAACTTTGTAGGTGAATAGATCTCAATGGGTAGATGTGCAGTGTCAAAGAACCATAACTCTATTTTGCCCAGTTTTTAGCTCGACTATACGAAGTATATGGAGAGCTGTCCTACTCACCCCGGCGTCGGCGTCCGTGTCAAGATTTCAGATTAAAGTTTTGGTGCAGTAAAATATTTTTCACTATAACTTTGTCATTTCTTAAGGTATCAACTTCAAACTTCAAATATATGTTCCTTATCATCAACCACATCTTATGTGACAAGGTTCATAACTCTAGCACCAATATTTTCAGATTTATCTCCCCCTAAACTTAGAATTTTCCTTAAAAAATACTAATTTTTACTGTTACTTCTTTATTTCTTAAGGGATCAACCTCATACTTCAAATATATGTACCTTATCATCATCCCCATCTTATGTGACAAGGTTCATAACTCTAGCACCAATATTTTCAGATTTATCTCCCCTTGAACTTAGAATTTTCCTTAAAAAATACTACTTTTTACTGTTACTTCTTTATTTCTTAAGGGATCAACCTCATACTTCAAATATATGTACCTTATCATCATCCTCATCTTATGTGACAAGGTTCATAACTTTAGCACCAATATTTTCAGATTTATCTCCCCTTGAACTTAGAATTTTCTTTAAAAAATATTATTTTTTACTGTAACTTATTTATTTCTCAAGGGATCAACTTCATACTTCAAATAAATGTACCTTATCATCATCCACATCTTATGTGACAAGGTTCATAACTCTAGCACCAATATTGCAAGAATTATCTCCTCATCAACTTAGATTTTTTTACTAGAAAAATGTTATTTTTTATTATAACTTTTTTAGTTTTAAAGGTATCTACCTCAAACTTCAAATACTTATTCCTTATAATAATCAATTATATTTTATGTGACAATGTTCATAACTCTTGAAGTAATTTTTACAGATTTATTTCTCTTTGAACTTAGGATTTTCTTTAAGAAGTATTATAACTTTGTTACTTTTTAAGGTATCTACTTCAAACTTCAAATATATACTTCTTATCATTACATACATGTTGTGTGACAAGGTTCATAACTCTAGCGTGACTATTTCTAGAATTATTTCCCTTTATCTTGGAATTTATTTTAACAAATGTTATTTTTTTACTATAACTTAATACATAATTATACATAATTGATTTTTCTTTCATAGTTTTGTCCTCCTTACTGCTTCCAGTATTTTATCAGTCGAGCTTTGCTGTCTCCTGTGACAGCTCTTGTTTAATTATCTCCCCTTATAGAAAAATCTTGTCCGGGGCATAACTCTAAAACTATAAGAGATATCAACATGAAACTTTGTAGGTGAATAGATCTCAATGGGTAGATGTGCAGTGCATAAGAACAATAACTCTTTTTGTCCTAATTTTGGAGTTATTGCCCTTTGTTAATTTTAACACTTTGAACTTTGTCCGGAACATAACTCTAAAACTATAAGAGATATCAAGATGAAACATTGTAGGTAGATAGATCTCATTGAGTAGAGGTGCAGTGCAAAAGAACCATAACTCTGTTAAGC